TTAATGGAATTTTCCTATAATAGAATAGCTAGATTTTTGATATTGAACTACGTGTATCTAAATGAGAATTAAGAAAATTGCCAGTTTATTTCGATACTTAAGAAAATTACATTTTTTTGGTCATTAAATTACCTGACTTTTGTAATACAAATAAATATATATTTCATGACATCAAACTTCTTTTTCGAAGTGCCACGAATACGTTGACGTACATTTTTTCACTTGCTGTTTAAGTTCGTAGAGAAATTATATCTACATCTCTTTGATCACTACATCATTGTTTCTTTTCCAGTAAAATCTTGTATGTATTTTAATAAATTCTTTCTGCAATTATGAAAAACACGAAACACGTGTATTACAATAACATATAAAATACGCTAGGTACTTATTACTAAAAAAAATTCCATTTAGGTAACAGAATATTCGAATACTAAAAGTAGAAACATTAAATACTAAAATATTAAAAATTAATAGAGTTCGGATATGGGAGACTCTGCTGCATTTACGTACATTCACTTAATTCGAAAGAGGATTTTCATGGTTCAAAAAACATTGGGACATCGCCATGCATATCGAACAAACGTAATCTGTTTCGCAACACGTTTCCCAAGGAAGAGGCCCCGTGCGATGCTAAAGCGACGACATTGCATTTAGAAATTGAGTTCGCCTTAGAAGCTTGGAGCTCGATCGTATCTCTTCCATTTTCTGCTTTCTTACGTCCGAGCCCCGGTCCTCTTAAGAAAATCTTTTTAGAGATGCCATTTTTATCAAGAAACACGATCTCGATAGAAGCTCGCTAGACTATGAGGCGAAACGGATAGGAAAGGTTTCCTTTGTGTCTCTAAGAAATCGTCGTTCCAACGGAACAGATCTTTTGTCTTTAAACGCCGTGACAAACCTAGCCGTCACAATTACACTCTAAATTTTTGCCCGTCGACTATTTTGATCTTTTTTGATCTTTTTCAATTTGAAAAGAAGATCGTGAAGATCGAGACAGAAATGAAGGAAGCTTGGAAAATCCGCTTTGTTAAGCATCTGTTCATTCGGCGATAGATATTATCCTTCTCTAGTGACACAGCGTGCTTCGAGTGCACCGGAAGAAGAGTAAACGAGATGTAATCAGAGCTGAAAAAAAATGTTAAAATCAGCAGAGGTACATCGCTGGGGCAGAAAGTTTTCAATTACAGTCTCGGTATGGCAAATCACGCGCCTTGCAGTTAATCAGCAATCAGTAGCAAGCATATTACTGATTTCACGAAAATAAATTAGTGCGAATAGAAATATTTATCAACACTTGATCTGATACTTCAATTTTTGTCTGATGAATCCATTCTTCAATAATGATGAATTTTGGAAAAAAAAAACAACATATATTAGTAAGTATGACAAGGTTTCAATATAATACGTATGTATATTTCATATCTGTGAAAACAATATTTCCCCATGGATTCGTCAGCTTTGCGTGTTGCTAAAAACCATCTACCAAGTATTGCAAATCAATTAAATTTATTATTCTAAAGATTTCTCTGAAAAGATAACAATTTTCGTACTTCTTTGCCCGATCGTTGTAAATTTACCAACGACGAAATGACGATCGAAATTACTGATTCGAACGAGGAGGATCAGTAAAAATTTTATTTTCAAATAATAAAAGAAACGACGAGAATCGAGATACGCTCGTGGAAAGAGCGTCTGGAAAATAAAGCGATTGAAGGGTCGTCGTTACGATTGGTAACATCCCCGTTCAGCCAAACCCCTCCCTCCAGCCCCTTGCTCCTCCGCCACCGGTTGAAACAGCAGAACGCACGGCTTTATGAATATGTAAAGTACGTTAGAGGCGTTGCCGGCACACGAAACTGTTTGCACATCGTATCAAATATTGACAGTGTTCCGGCAAATTTATTCACCGGCTGAAATAATGTATCGCGCGCGTCCGATAAAATCGAATGTCCCGCGCGCGCCTTAACGCCCGCGAGTCGCGCTGTGGAACAGCCGAATGCATCATCGGAGGATCAGTCAGGCTGCCGCATCAAAAATTTCGATCGGGCAAATTTGCACACCGATTAAATCCACCCTCGTGACGTTCGTACGTTGCGGCATGGACAATATTCTCCCCCCCCCGGACGTCAGTTTTCCATTCTTCGCTCCCGAGAAGCGAGCGCGATCAGCTGACGTTGATCAATGGCTCGGGATCGACGCGCTTCTTACGGTAGAGCGTTTAAGAAGGCAGACGCAGGACGCAGCGAGTTTCTATGCACCCTTTGACTCGAGCTAAATCGTTACACCCGGGAAATTTGTTCCGTGGAGGGAGTGAGAAATTTTCTTCGGTGGTGCGTGCGTTACAAAAAAAAAAAAAAAAAAATCACGGCTTAATAAAGCGCCGGATAAAATTATCATCCGGGGGTTGAGAATATATCCCCGGATAAACAACGTCGTGCAAGGTATTTCAGTGGCGCAGGTTCGGAACGGTGTTACTGATAAAAGCAGCGATGGAAGAAAGGAAAACAACGGACGGTTTTAAGGGGATGAGAAAGGAGAAATGAGATCAGAGAAAGGAGGTCGTGTAACGAAAGGTACCATTGTACAGAAGGAGCAAGGTGAACAGGTAAAGGTGGAAGCTAACAGCTTCTTAAGAAGGAACCTTATAAGAAACGAAGTATTGAAAAACAGACAATTGCTGGTATGAAGGTCGAGTTATCGTATTTCATTAAGAATTGCTACTTAGACGGAATTGACCTTCTACGTTGTCCTATCGTTGTCCTACTTCGTCTCTGCGCGATTTTTTTTTTTTTTTTTTTTATTACCAGACGACCGGTAATCGTTTTATCGTCTTCGATCGTATTTTCGCGCGATTCAACGCCCGACCATTGTTCCACCTCTTTGTTATCATCGAGCATGTTTGAACTAATTCTCGGTCGCTTGATCACGATCGTTTACTTATACTCGATTCAGGAGAGCGACCAGAAGTAGATTTGTGTCATCATCGAGGGAGAAGAAAAAAGAAAAAGATGGAATGATCGAGGCGAATAATATCGCTCGTGTTCGAGCATCGACGCGACGTTCTTTTCAAAGTTACAAAGGGACAAATCGAATCGTCGACTTTTGCGGTTTCTCCCCCGTAAGTTGGTTAATAAAGAGAAAAGGAATCCAAGTGGAAGAGCTGAATTAAATATTTAATCAACTTTGTTTCCTCCGGTTGTAACTTCATTGACGCGAAGTCTCGAACTCGGAAGTTCTTCTTTAGGAATTCTCCTTCATTCCAGATTCACTTTTCTTTCTTTCCTTTCCTTTCTTTCTTTTTTCTTTCTCTCATGACTAAAACGAGTCGCCGGCCGATCATTCTGCAGATTTCAACGCACATTGGATTCGATTTCCCTTCGCGGCAGCCAATTTCTCGATGAAAAACGGCACGAAGGGAAATCGAATCGCGCCGTTTGAACACTATTGCCCACACAGAGACGCGCGTGGTAACGCGTGATTTGTTGAATTATGACCGAGGTTGTTGTCCGCCGCAGCGATCATGCTCACGTGTGTTCCAGCCTCCTATTAGCATACTAAATCCGATTGACGTACTCAGCTCGCGTTCGTGAACCCTCGTTTTAATTACCTCGAATGCGATACGTCGCGTGTCGCCAGATAGATAGTGGCCACCAGGCCACTTGTACACCGAGGATTTTGCCCTTCTAACCGTTTAAACCGTTACAAATTGCAAATTAACCTCTTCTTTCGCGCGTAGAAATTTATCGTCTTGTTTCTTTATTCGCGTTTCAATATCGTTTGCAGTGAAACTCCGTCCAATACATTCCACTGGTGGGAAATGAGGAAAAGTATGGAAATAAAATCAAATTTTCAATGTTCAAAAAGCTGTCGACGTTTTAAAACTTTAAGTTTCTGCTTTCGAAATGTATCTTTCATTTTATCCTAAGATGTTTTTTTATAGTATATAGCTGTATTTTTATAGTATATGCTGAACTGTGAATAAAGTATATATGTACATTATGTAATTTCATTTATCTCAAGCATAGTCATCACTTTAGTCAATTAAATCCGATTAAACTCTTGCTGTTTCGGTTTCGGTTAGTTTGGGTCTTACTGGTTGAATCTACTTATCTATTGTGTGAACAACCAATCACTGCTAGAAGGGAGAATCACGGAACTCCAATTATTATAGGTTCGTGCAACGAAATTATACGGCACTTTGCTGTTCAAACTTTGCTATTGTGTATAAAACTAAAATATCACGTACGATTCGTTGAAAGATTACAAGAGAAATATGAAACGCAAAGTTATACATTATACTTACTCTGTACATTTCCTTTTATTCATTCCTCTTTATTAATGTAAAATTGAGTATTATTGAATTTCATGTCGAACCTCTTCACACGTAATTTTAGTAATTATAACTAACTCGTTTCGTACAAATAAGCTTTTTATCTCAAAGGTAACGAACATTTTCCCATAACTAGAAATCTGATGATTAACATTTCATTTGATAAAACAGAGATTTTTAAATAATAATCATTACAAGACGAGACGTGTACCATAACATAAAGATACATAAATAATTTAACACATTTCTATCACAGATTTAAAAAATAGAGAATGTTATTTAAACAAATACCTCATTATTAATTTATTCAATTATTCCTCTCGTTCGATATAATTATTTCATATACCGTGAAACCTTATTATTTTCTATCGGGTCGGTCAGAACATCGTACACGAACGGGTTAACGCTATCCTTTTCGCCCACGCACGCGAATATTCGTAACAAGGCGATGAGTTGCCATCTCTCTTGGAATTTTCTACTTCGTACCCGGCGATGCGCTCGTAATTAACTACCAGCACGTGAATCTCCGATAAGCTTTTATCAAGATAGACGAACTGCTCGACGGTGGAAAGAAGTTCGGTTAGATTCACCAGACAAACTTGCCGATAATCCTTTACGGCGGGCGTCAAAAGTTTATAGAGCAGCGCCTTTGAAAAATGGATCTTTAAGGATGCGCGACGTGAACTATCAAGTGTCAGCAGTGCCGATCGATCACGGAATAATTTTATTGATTACAGCCGGCGCGAGGGACGGAGGAGGCAGGAGATACCCGGTGATCGTGTTCGTGCACGGGGAGAGCTATGAATGGAGCAGCGGGAACCCTTACGACGGCAGCGTGTTGGCGAGCTACGGGGGTGTCGTCGTCGTCACCATAAATTATAGACTCGGCATTTTAGGTGAGTAATTACGCTCTTCTTTCCCGTCTATTATTGGACGGCGAAGTTATAATTTACCATTTACTGTTATTATCACTCTGTCATCTTTTATTATTACCGGAGAGCGTAATTGGTGCCAATAATTATAGATTTCGCGTAAATCATTCTTCATTGTCGTTCGCGCTATCGTCTTAGGATCCATCTCCGTAATAGACGTTGGAAATTTTACAGTCTTACAATTAGTTGAATTAAGATCACTCGTAATTTTCACGTCTTCTCACGTGTCTTCTGTTCTGCTCTTTATTATACCGAATAGTAAAGGTAATTGATGACAGTAATTGGATTTCGCGTTATAGGAAATTTTATATGCCCTGAGTGAAAAGATGTAAGGATCTAAACGTAATTTAATAATATAAATTTTATGAACTGTCAAAGTACACATACACAGATATTTAAATATTCTAGTGCTAATGAAAATTAATTTTTTTAACAATTCTCCGACCGCAATAGTCTAAAGGCCTGTCTATTTCATATCGTAATATTGATATTCACAAAATTTGTTGCGTGTGGTTCTGCAGTGTTTGCCCCTACACGTTTGAAATATACAGAAACATCACCAGTTATCAATCTCAGTAGTAACGTAAATCATAATGTCGAATCTCGGCTATGTCGAATCTTGGATGCATACTCACTTTTGACTCTGGCTGTACATCCATTCGCGATGTTCCCCGAGCCATTCAAAGCCCTATCAACCTTCATCGCGAAATTTCGCCAGACATCGACCAGAAACCACCCTCGTCATCGAGGAAACCAGCCTGGGTGAAGAAAATTCCGATGGACAACGCCTCCGCCGTGGAAGGGATGGTCGAATTAATCTCAATCCCTTGACGAGCGTCAGCGAGTTAAACTTTGTCACCCAGTTTCTGGAAATTCAGCAACCCTGGCCGGCATACCTGCCACAGAGGCGAGCCGATCGTTAGCGTTTCGAACGCTCCCTTAATTACGTGCGTGGAGAAGTTCGCAACGGCGGGGTTCGCATGGACGCGGGTTACAAGACCCGTCGATGAGACGGGCGTAGTCATTAGCATGGCGACTGTGATCTCTCAGTCAAAGAGCCAAGCGGAACTAGTTACTCCTTTCTCGGATTCTGCCTACTACCTGTTTCAACCCTCGTATTCGGCACAGAAGAAGAGGCGTTGCAACATTGGCTGCCAAAATATCTTGCAGTTGCTCGCGCGAACATTCAAATACTAAATGTTCGATTTTTCGAGAGGGAATAGTACTCCACTTCTGGCAAAAAGTTCGAAAGGCGAGTATCCGAAAGTTTTTAGTTTTGAGAACGTCGAAACGTTTGTGCGTTTGATCGAAACGCGATCGTTTAAAAATTCAATCAAAGCCGCTAATTCTATTTTGCTACATACTTCAAACGAATGTATTCAAATATTTATGTTTGATCGAAAAATTTTTATCAGTGGTGATATTTCAAAGATCGTGAAACAATTCGTTTGAGCTCGTTTCAAAGCGTGAAGCCTCTGCTTTCATAATCCTGGATATTTTCAAAGATACTTTTCTTTCTCGAAAATGTTAAATTCACACATTTCTGAAAATATTGAGAAAGTTTTTTCCGTGACTGAAATTATCATCAAATTGAAGATTGAAGCCTCTACTCCACAACAACCTTTCAAGATTGAAATTGTGTCTTCTCGGCAGTAATCTTTCTTCATTTTGTTAAACTGTACGTAATAATTTTCTCTGGGCACGCAACTACATTCAAAATGAAACTCTTCAATATTCTTTCAACACCGTAGTAAGAATAATTTTTTTATTTCTTTCTTTTTTTTATTACAATCATTATTTTCCCAAGGAATAAATTGCACTAGACACTAAATTGAACACATGATAAAATTGGACTGCAGATTTTCATGCAATTTCATATTTTTATTTTAGTGAGTCTAAAGAAATGAAATCTACACTACGAATTTGAATCCATTTTACATTTTTATTTCATGCTTAATAATTTCTAGATATTTTCTTTTTACAACGACAGATGCGTTCAATACCTATACAATACCTATACAATTTATTAAAATACTCTAAGCAAAGAAATCACTATTAGGAGCATGTACTGATATTAGAAGATATTATGGATTTTATTGTGTTTTCAAATTGAGAAACCATTTGTGTGCCTTTAAAGTGGAGAATCACTTCAAAAAAGAAAAGAAAAAGAAAAAAGAAAAGTAAAGAAATCGAAAAGTAAGAAAGAACAAAGCACTTGCTCGCGCGACTAGGCAAGATCGAAAGTCGCAGCCAGAGTTGCCAGGCAACGGTAGCAACCAAATCTAATAGGAAACTCATTATGGCCATGTCTTCCGTTTCACCAAACTGAATTCTTGACTTTGCCTCCGCTTCCGTGACAGTGGTGGCCACTATCCTCGTTCGTGCTTCGCCAATATAATACTCGCTTCCTCGCGCCATGATATATTCCAGTTACGTCAGCACGATTCTTCGACGTTTCTGACAAGAGTACGAGAGAGAGAGAGAGAGAGAGAGAGAGAGAGAGAGAGTCGGACAACGTCGTCGTCGATCGAGGGGCACGTACTTCTACGAGCGAGACGTAGCAGCTCGCGGAGATTAATCGTGATTTCACGCGCAGCCAATTATCGAAGCGGGTTAACTTCCTGCAATTAGGAGCCCGAGCTGTAACCACCGGGATATGACGTGGTGAAACGCTCGGCGAGCTTTTTTCGAGCGTTCGAACCGCTTCTTTCCGTAAGAAGGAAGTCTCTTTGTGGAATTTACGAGAGCCACCCTCTCCCGCGATTTTATAATTCGCTTCTGATATGATTCTTAAGGGGAGTTGTGGGTCAAGTGATGGTGAAAATACTTACCTTTGACTTTCGGGAGGTTCTGCCGCAAATATCCACAGTAATTTCGAAATATATATATATGCTTTTCAAATAATTAACGAAATGGTTCTAAATTATAGTCGAATTTCTCGTATCCGAGTAGAATTTTTGGACAACGAAACGATCTTTTTGATGTTAAATTGCATCGTTTATTTTTGTATTTGTTGCACTATTTAAGAATGTTGTACTTTTAAATATCTTTTAATATACACTCTTTTTTATTCGTTTGCTTTAGCGATAAAAGATATTGGAAAACTGTAGTTAATACAATACATAACCTTGTATTATATTTCATTCATACTGTAGTTTTGGTAAAATCATATTTCATGTTTTAGTAAGTTATTTTTTTTTATAATTATAAAATATACGTGAAACATGTAACAATAATGTACAAGATATTTTAGTACAAAAAAGCTACCTAATTAATAGAATGAATGAATTAATGAATTAATAGAATCTAAATATCTAATATATCCGAAACATAAGTTTATTAAGGAACAAAATAATTCTGTCTATTGCGTGGATATCTATTTATCAAATATTAATAGTATAAAATCAAAGATTCCGTGTACTTTTTATTAAAACATTGAACACTATATCTTCTGCACTACTTCCAGCTACCACAACTTTATTCTCACTATCACTCGACATTAGATTCAAAAATTTTTAGTCTTTATAATATTAATATACGTCCGAACTTCCCGAGTTTCTCAGCGATACTGCTCAACAGCGTACATAATGTCACAAGTACTAAACACGCAGTCACACGTTTGTATACATCAGGTCACACGATTCTTAGAATCCGTGTTTCCAATAATTTCACTGGCAGAAGAAATTGAACTGTGTATTTACATATTTTGTAGGCTGCTAAACTGAAAAAATTTCGTGTTCCCGGCCCGACCTGATATTTCGGGTTCTCGCACACCTCTATCGAACATTATCAAATCATTCTCGGATAAATTACGACCTACATGTGTTAGGATATTTAGGAAAGTTTTAAAAAAAATATTCTAGTCGCGTAGGAATAATTAGAGGTTATTTGACTGTTTGAGGCAGTGAATTCATTCTTGAATAATTCTTTTAGCAGAGAAAACAGCACTCCTAGAGTCCCGACGCTAGATCCGAATTTTTAAACTTGCCGGTCGTTAATTTGCCATGAAGCTGAAGCAGGAGAAGTCAGGTCCACGAATACGCTTGCACCCTTTTTTTCCCCCTGTATTTTCCTGTTGTCCCTTTGGTCTGGCAAAGTGACCCAGCGCGGTGCATGTTCCATGAAACGCGGACGATGTAACGAGGTTCCGTTTCTTGAATTACATTCCCCGGCATTTTGTGCATCAAGATTTCATACGTTTACCGTTTACTTGAATTTCACCAAATTTCTCGTAACCTTTTCATTATTTATCTGGCGAGATATTTTCAAAAAATTATCTGCTCGACAGATTAATGAAACTCTGTTCGTGAAGCTTCTTAGTAATTAAATTTCCTTTTCTTAATATTATGAAAATCGAACTTTAAGGTGCAACGCTTTATAACAAATAAAAAATAGAATCCTCGTAACTCTGTTGCAAAAAAATAAAATGAAAAAATAATAATTATGATAATATAGTTTAAGAGAAAATTAATTAAAATTTCTCTCAATAGTAAACTAATGGTGAGATAATGAATGATTTATAACTACCATTATTTACTTACCATGTAAAGATTCATTTCTTATTTTTTATCATCAGCATACGCAAGTCAAATTAGTAAATGAAATAATTTTGGAATTACACTACTCGTCAATTGAGGGATTTATGTGATACAAACAATATTATTCTTTTCCCATAGATGTAACCACCCCTCGGTTTCTGGTTTTCGAGATATTCTTAAAAATATTTTTCGTATTTTTCAATTTAATTATTTATTCGATCTATGCTTCACTACAGTTTATTTATAAAATAGCTTATTATTAAAATGAAAAGTCAAGAGATGTAAAAATTTGGGAAAAGTCACTAAATCTTACAAATATTTTTGTGATTATCTTGAAACCAAAGCCGAACGATGTTTATTAGTTTTATACGAAAAAATTACTCGGATTATTATCCTCCATAAGATAATTAAAAATACTGAAATCGA